ATTAGAAGTCAATATGAAAAAAATGGTCCCCCACAGGATATAAACCCAGCACGACCGAAATGCAAAGGAAACTATTTCCCTACCGCGTTACAAGCCCCTACCACCATTCCTGTTCATCAAGCAGTGTGCATTGCAAAACAAGATCTGTTTAACAATTTTTAAAGCCGCTGATCACTAGCCGAAAGTGCTGTGCACCGAAAATGACGGCGGCACGATCATAGTATTTTCTACCATTCACATTTTAGCCAAAACGAACATATAATACCCATATGCCAATAACCTGCGTGTTAAATTATTTTATATTTATACCATACCTCTAATATATTCTGTCGCAGAAATAGCATCGTAGAAGAATAGTCAATATTGGAAAGTCAAAGAGAGCACTTAGAAACGAAACGGATCAGTCGTTAATCGAGAATGATCGGAATAATAAGAAAAAAAACTTGTAATGAATACTTGTGTTTCTGTTGCTATTTTTGGAAATGGAAATCAAACGGAGTCCGTGTCTGCTGCAGCAATTAAAGCAATCTGTTTGTGGTCTATGCGGCCGCGAAAATGATTTTGATCCTAAGGACAATAAAAACCCAATCCTTCGTTTAAAAACAAACCTTCACTAACAATGAGACTTTTATATCATAATTAACAGATGAATTTATGTGTACTCTTCAAAACGCATGTTCAGACGAAAAGTTCATACTCAACTCCATCACTTTTCACCAAGCAAAATTAAATTTTAAGTTCATTTTAAAACGCGAGGGTCTAACTCCGGTTCTGACGAATCCTCATCCTCATCGGCGTCCAGAATCAAAGGCCAGATCGTCTGCCGAAATGCATCGCTGACGAAACCGCCGGTACTCAATGCCAACTGCTTCAACGCCCCACGGCCAGGGTCAGCATCTTGCAACAGACTTTTGATCTTCTCGATCTTGACCGTTCCACCCATTCCCATTGTAACAGTCGCATTCACAATTGCTTTATAATTACAAAGCCGAAAAACAAATAGTTAGACAGTCGCGGTACTTTCGGATGAATTTCCCGTTGCTGACATCACATATTCGATATATTTTCAGGTTTATGATTCTGGGCCCAGAGCTATGTAGATACGCGTTTGAATGATTCATGGTACCAAATACAACAGAAGGCACTGCAGACTCGTTTACTGCCGACGTAGTCTGCTACTTTGCCATCGCTTTTAAAACGCGAAACTCCGCCATGGCCGGTCCCAAGCCCGAATGAGAAAGGAGGAGGGTTGGAGACCGTGGCAAGCCTCCGTAAAATTCAGCCACCTGCCACTCATGGTAT